ATATATAAATATGGCAAAAATGGTAAGCAACTACAAAAAATATGTAATGAAGTAGTGACTCATTGGAAAGTCATCTATCATGTCTATTTATTAAGCTCAAATAATACACAGTGTGAGTTACATCATCAGCTAAATATCTTATAGAACAACAATCTATTCTCACAGATTTTCAATTATGTGAGAAAAAAAGGTGGCCCAGGTAACTTCCATTATTTCACTTACCTTGGTCGCGCCCCATCCAGTAACGCTCAACATGGAACCAGCTGGTACTTCATAACCTGATTCTGCCAAACTTACGGGAAGGGTGGTGCAAGCTGTATATGCAATAGGACTTTCTAAACGTAATAATGCGACATCATATTCAAAAGTAACAGCTTCATTGTATTTAGGATGTGTTATAACCTCAGTGACGTTATACACTCGTCCACCTTTCTTATGAAATTTGCTACCGACACGAACTGATAGGAATTTTGGGGGATTTTCTTCACTGCAATAGAAACATTATTTAGAGTTAATTAACTTCCCGAAGGAGAATGTTTTCATCAAAAAATCCGATTCGCTAATTTTATGTTGTCTCGACGTTTCAAGCCATTCTGAATCGAATGAGACCAAATTTGGAAAAAGCATGCGTGTGTGTGTATGTGTATGTGTATGTGTATGTGAACAGATTTTTTGCCGTGAATCGACGATTTCTCAGAAACGGCTAGACCGATTTCAAAAATTTAAACGATCGGCCGAGCCGGTTTTTGTAAATTGCAGAAAAGTGAAAAAATTTTCGTCTACGTTTTAGCTCGTAATTCTGAATCGATTTTGAAAATTCAAAAACCGTTCGAAAGATATTGGTTGGGAATCGTGCTGATAAGTTTTTGGAGAAGATGGGCCGAGCCGTTTTCTTGTAATAAAGTGTTAAAATTTTTTTTTCGACGATTTTTATCATTATTTTTCTGATGGTAGATACCATAGTATTCTACATCATACTAAAATATTACGGCCCTACGACAACTCGTTTAGCTTTAAAAATTCGTCAAAGTTTGGAAAAATTAGTATCGTTTTTTTTGGCATTCGTCAAAATTAGATCTTTCATCGACGATTTTAAAAAATCAAAAACTGTTCGAAAGATATTAGTTGGTAATGATACTGATTAGTTTTAGGTGAAAATCTACCGAGCTATTTTCTTGTAATTAACTGTTGAAAAAAATATATACCACCGTCTTATAGAACTTACTGAATTATTACGGCCTTATGACAAGTAGTTTAATTTTAAAAATTCATGAAAGTTTGAGAAAATGAGTAGTTTTTTTGACGTTTGTTAAAATTAAAATTAGACGATTCACTACTTGGTCTTAATATACGTAATAAATCATTAAAGTCCTACGGAAACTGGTTCAATTAAAAAATTATTGAGTTTTGTAAATTTGCTTTTAGAAAATACTCCGATTAACGTGTTCGTTCGTTTTCAATGATGTGTAATAAATCCACTCAGAATACTTTTAATCACTCATAAATTAATTTATTTTTTATTGATTAAGTCGATTATTTACACATATCGGGAAGTTCATGTAACATGCCTCAAGGCTAAATACCAAACCAACTAGTTTTATTTTTTTGTTACTAAGCTAATTAACTTACTCTTCGACACAATGCGAAGCTGTTAGAATCCAATCTTCAGCTATAATAGATCCACCACAAAAATGCATCCTAAAGCCGGCCACAGACGTAACTGTATACTTGCGCAACTGAATGAATGCGCAACCAGGCGTATTTTCACAGCGCCCACAGACGGTTCAAGTTTATGTTCAAGTACTTGCGCAAGCATATCACAAATGTCAAATAATAAATGTCAAAACATAACCTAAAAATATATCTTTTTTATTAATTTATGTATTTACAGCATCAGAAAAGAATTCAAAGTGTTCAGAGGGCTAATTTAATAACTTTTAATTGACGATAACTTCATAAACTTGTGTTATGAATTCGCTACAAAGTAAAATAAAAACGGGACATGTGCTGCCACGCGCGGCCAACGAATGAACTTGCCGACTTGAATGGTTGCGCAATTAAAATAATGAAAAAGTGCTCATGCCTACTCGCTTGCACCAGTCTGTCAAGTTGCGCAAAAAACACGCCACAGACGCTACAGAACACATGTGCAAGTCGCAGGTTGCGCAAGTATACAGTTACGTCTGTGGCCGGCTTAAAACTTTGGACTGAAACTTGCCATCCGCATGTTGAAATTTCAACTTCCTCGCCACCTACAATTCGGTTATTCAACGTTTCTGCATCTACAGACAGACAGACAAAAAGTATTTATTACAATAGTTGATCATACATTTGCATTGTTAGTTAACAAACATTTTTCTACCCTTCGGTATTTTATATTACATAATTGATCTTAATATATACAGTGAATATTGTGAATACAGCGAGATGTGTGTCAAATCGTGTGGCAAAAAAGAGGAAAGAAAACTTTTTCTCCCAAAAAAAACCACAAAGCAATATTTATAGTAATAGTTAATTATACAAAAAAAAAGAAAAACGAAATAAAAGATTTATTCTCATTCAAGTATCAATTGCTACTATGGGTCGATCAGTATATATTTTGGCATGGCGTGATTACCATACCAAATATCGTCTCTTGTGTATTGGCCGAGGCCCGCGATGTTAATATTAGGATGATCCCCACATTTTAGATAAAAAATTTCAGTGAGCTTTTTTATACAGTCGAGTATTGTCGGTACGTCAGTCTGTTTGTGTATGTATTTTGAAGAGTAGTAATGTCTAGTCAGTGGGTCCCTTATTTTGTTGAGTACGAGTCGCAGTGTCTTATTTTGTAATGTTTGTAGTTTCCGTAAGTTAGTCTTAGTTGTCGCGTTCTATGCCGGCGCGGCGTATGTCAGTAACGGTCGTATAAGTGTCAAGTAAAGTGTCCGCTTGTTCTTCACGCTTAGCGGGCTGTTGTGGTTCAAGAGAGGTCTCAGTAGATTTAACATCCCGTAAGCCTGTCGGATTTTTGTATTGATATGTTTTGTGAAGCTGAGTCTATGGTCCATGGTCACACCAAGATATTTGACATCCTTAGACCACTCAACTTCACAGTTTAATACTTTAATTTTGTCCAAGTCAGTCAGTTTAGTCGTGACATTTTGGCTCTTTGTAAATAAAATTGCCTCCGTCTTTTGCGGATTGATTCTAATCTGCCATTTGTCAGTATATATTCAGTTAGCTTGTCTATGTGCGTCTGTATCTTTGTAGTCAGTAGCGTAGGTGATCGTGATGATTTGTATATGGCAGTGTCGTCAGCAAACGTCAGTAACGTTGTGTCGGTGTCAGTGGGTATGTCGTGAATGTAGACGTTAAACAGTGACGGTTCTAGGATCGAGCCCTGCGGTACTCCCGCCGTCACTTATTTAACCGTCGAAAGTCCGTTGTCTACTTGTACGGTAAAGTTGCGGTTTGAGAGGTATGAGTGTAAAGTTCTCGTTATGTACGGTGGAAAGTTGAGTTGGATAAGTTTATGTACAAGTCCGTCCATCCAGATGGTGTCAAACGCCTTCTCAAAGTCGAGTAACACCAATCCGGTATGGTTTCGTCTGTTAAAATTAAGAACTGTATTTTCTATGAGTTTTGTCAGTGGGTGTAGCGTGGAGTGTCGTTCTTTGAAGCCGTATTGTGTGTCAGGTATGATTTTGTTGTGTCTTATGTGTTTGTTAAGTCTTTTGAGTAGTACCTTTTCGGCTACCTTACTCATTGTGTTGAAGAGACTGATCGGTCTGTAGTTCTGTGGTATGTCTGGCTGTTTCCTTGGCTTCACTATTGGAAATATGGTGGAGGTTTTCCAAGAAGCGGGAAAGCAGCCTTTTGTCATTATTCTATTTATTATCCGGGTGAGTAAAATGTAGGCGTTCGTCGGCAGTTGTTTAAGTATTATGTTTTGTAGTCCGTCCGGTCCTGGTGCTTTTCTGTTCGGTAATTTATTTTTTAAATTAACTATTGTCTTTATTTCAGAAACTGTAGCGGGGTCTATTCGTAAGTTTTTGTCCCTGTGGAGGTCAGTAAAGTTTTGAATTGTCTCGTGTACGCCTTGTTTCAGGTCTGCGTTTGACATATTGGCATTTTGTTTATGTATGTTCTCAAAGTTTTTTGCCAATATTTCCGCCTTGTCTGCTGGTGTCGTTGCGTAATTGTTGTCAGTTAATTTTAGTGGAGGTATGGATGCTGGTTTCCGCGTCAGTCTTTTTGCTGCCTGCCAAATTTTGTGTGGGTCAGTATTTAAGTTTTCGAGTCTTTTGGTCCAAGTGTTGTTTCGGTGGTCACGTATTTCATTGGAAATAATTTTTGTCAGTCTGTTAACATGTTCCTTGAGTAGTCTGTCACAGGTACGTTGCCACAGTTTCTTTGTATGATTTTTAAATTGTATTTTCAATAAAATGTGTTCTGGCAAGTCGTTGGCTGGTGTTGTTCTTGAGTTTAGTGTCGGTATAGTCTGTTGTACAGCGTCTGTGATTGTCAGTGTTAGGTGTGTTACAGCCTCCTCAATGTCAGTGTTGGTATCGATTGGCATAGTGTGTCGTGTGTTGTCTGTGATGATGTCTCTGAAAATTGGCCAGTTGGCTCTGGTGTAATCTAAAAATTTGCGTTTGGAAGTCTGGTCTACGTCTAGTCTGTCTGAAATGGTCATGAAAACTGGATTATGGTCGGAGTTAAAAAGTGCTCTTGTTATGGGTTCGGATGTTACGTGTAGATTTTTTGTCAATGCCAAATCGATCGTACTGTGATGGTGCGTCTGTACGATGGCGTATCTGGTCGGCGTGTCAGGATAGTGTAGTTGTGCGTCTGTGGTGTTGTGTTCGGTCAGGTATTTGTAAAGTCTGTTTTCGTTCGCGTTGTTAAAGTGACAGTTCCAAGATGAAGATAACATTTTTTCAAAAAAAAAATTGTTTAAAAACTTAAAAAAAAAAAAAAAAAAAATCAAAAAAAGTAATTTTTTGTCCAATTTAAAATTTCTAAAAAATCTTATTTTTTCGAAGTAAAATTTTTTCAAAAATGTTAATCGTTTTTAAAAAAATAATAATTTTTGGCACGGGAAGTTCCAGCAATTTGCCTTAAGGCACGATGCCTTAATTGCCTTAAGACAGAATTCCACTTACAGCTAGTTATATTATAATTTAAATATTTATTGTTAATATAACTTACTACTCAAGCCAGCCGCAAAACCAGCGAAAAACACAACACATAATGCTTTGTGCCACATGCTTGGAAATTTAATGATAATATTGAATATTATCAAATATTTATTCGATTTCAAATTTTTTAATTTATAGTCCAGAGATATTAAATAATTGAGTGGATAGATTAATTAATTATTTTTTCTACATTATTTTTATTGTATGACAATAATTTTCCGGGAAAATTCGAATGTGAAGAGGCACTTCATGAATAATCATTGTTAACGTATCAAAATGAGATAAAAATCGTCATTTACTTGATGATTTAGTGTTCAGTTGTTTCATCTTACAACTTTATGATGAAGGTAAATTCAAAAAATTATACCTTGTTCAGTTTTAGCTATAATATTCGCTAAATATTTTTTTCGTACAAATAAATATCTCTTTATAGAAGTCCTCTAAACGCCAAATATAACATTATTACACACACTAATAGAAACTATGTATTTAAATAATTATAAGAAAAATCACACTTTTTATGTTTTTTTTATGGACCTTTTTATCCGCTGAACTTCAAGCAGCGTTCTTACCAGCTTTTTTTTCGAATATTCATTTGTCTCCATAAACGAAATTAGAAATATTTTTCAACAATACCTCGACGTGGAAAACCCGATTTGCGCTCAAAAATATTTAATATCTATCGATGGCACAGAGTCTCCAACAAATTGTAAAAATAATTTTGTAGCAGAGAAAAAAAGGAAAAAAAAAGTTACAAAAGTTAAGTTAAAAATAAATACATCATAAAAAAATTTTGAATAATTTTTATTAGTAATATTTTAACACTCGTGATGCACACTTTAACTATTATGCATATTTATATAAAAATAAGTTACAAATTATATATTCATAATAGCATTAAAAATATTTATAAAATTTGAAAACAATAATGTAATTAAATCCATACCTACTTTAAATATGACATGATTGGTTTGTCATTGTAATTAGCATTAAAACTTGAACCTTCATTAGAGAAATGAAGTAATTGCTGATTAATAAATTCTATAATATTCGTTTACACAGTGGATTATGTTAATCAACGCCTAAAGAAATATTGTTTGCACAATTTCACTCATCATGTAATTGTGTTTGAAGAACTTCATGTAATAAAATTAACATACATTCATTGCCTGCTTTTTTTTACTTTTTTGCTGATGATACAATCTCATTCTTTGAGCAGCAGTAATATCTATCTTGACTATAAAAATATTTTCCATTTGAATAACTTCAAAGATTTATAGAAACTTCGAATAATATAGAAATTATTTCAATGAACGCACGTTTCGTACACGGCACAAATGTTTCATTTGTTTTATTATTTTTATTATAATTATTTACGGAGGACAGTGTAAAATATTCTTCTGATTCAGGCATTTTTTATTAAATCAAGATTTGTACTACGATGAAACCTCAAAACTAATGACATTCAAATTTCCTTTCTTGTATCCTTACTCATACAACGTTGATGCCGGTACGCTTACAACGACAGATCTCTGTTCACGCAACACGACGACTAGTCACAATCGACGCGTATACAAATGATTTCATCGAGAGCGAATGACATACTGCTCGGGCGTCGGGCGTAACGCTATTTCCGTTGCATTTGTACAGCTTTACTCTCTAGTCGCGCCTAAAGAAGTTTTACTTCAAAATACGTTTCTTTTAAATCGATTCAAGTTGAAAATCTTTGTAAATATTTAAAGGTTGCCATTGTTAAAAAATGGCAAAAAACAGTTTTTTTAAATTATTACAAAATTGACTTCAATATGAGTAAAATAAAAAAAATACTTATTCGATCAGTACAACTGGAGATAATTAATTTAATGCGGTGAGGATGTTCATAGAAATTGAGCAAATCATTAAAAAATTAGTAAAATTTTTTTTCCTGCAAAATCTTGAAATACGTGACAGTTATTTTTTTACCACCTGGAAAAAAATTCAGACAATTCTAAAATGTGACATTTTATTTTTTCGCAATTTGTAAAAGAATGACCCATTATTGTTTTAAATTAATTTAATTTAGTTTCTACATCTGTGTTACTGTTTTAAATCAAGACAAATGTAATAAGTTGATGGCGTTTTAAGATTTCTATTTTTTGCTTTTGATACCACTTAATAACGATAAGATAAATGCATACCATTCTAGTCTATTTTAAGAACAAATGCATTATTTTTTAATAGATAAAATGTTCAATATATGGGTTATATTATATATTAATATGAAAAATAGTTTATTCAGAAATTATTTTATTCCCAAAAATAAAACAATTTTATTGAAAGTTCATTCAATTTGTCTACATTTTTTAACAAGTATTATTTGATTCCTGCTACGGTTTCAATAAACCTTTTCACGTCAGGATGTGAAACTTTTGCATAAACGCCTGGTTTTCCTGCTAAAGCACAGCCTTCGCCCCAAGATACAATTCCGACCTGAACCCTATTTTCATCCACTACAGGCCCACCGCTATCTCCTTGACATGAGTCCTTTCCGCCTTCAGGAAAACCAGCACAAAACATGCTAAAATATACAAATTTTACATCAACGGAAATCTGACGTTAAATACATATTAATGATATCTTAAATATAACTTTTTTTTCGCTTCGCGGATGGGTTAGCGGTGGCGTAACCGATTTGGACGGGGGCTAGCAGTAGTGCCAACTATTCCCGGGTTTACTAGTTCGATTCCCGCCACCGCCAAAGTCTGACATCAGACAGCTTTGATGCCAAATTTATACCTGCCAATGAGATTATAGATCTCAATACAACTTCAATTAAAAATCGCCTTTCGTGAGCATAGCTGCAACATTCAATTCCTTGCTTGATACCATATTTTTACTTGAAATCATGGATTTCAAATATGGTCTCAAGTGAAAATGGCCTTTTGTGGGCATAGCTGTGGCGACAAGATGCCACTTGGCAGTAAAGAGATACTGATATTGTATCAGTACTTTTGGAATAAAAAGGAAGTCAAATTGTATTCCTATACATTGTACAGAAAAATATAAGGACTCTGACTTTGTGCATCCATGATTGAGTGCACTTCAACTCAAGACTCGGACCTGCCGTTGGAAGAAATATTTATTAAGAACAACAGTAAAAATATGCAAAAAAGTGAAAATATATGTAGTGTGTAAGAGGAATAAAATAAGAAGTAATGAAGTTGACAGAAATGGTATTTAAAAAAATCCCATATAACTATTACACATAAGAGCTAATAGATGAACACCACACTTATGAGAATGGTAAACCTCTAATGCAATATTAAGTCTTTAACAAGCAGTTTATAGGACATTTAAAGTTAAGTAGTACTGGTTGTAGTTGAAACAATAAATAAAAAAAAACTTGTGTTGGTAGGTGGTGGCCGACAGTGTATCGGTTGCTTGAATGATTGTATTTGTTGGAGCAAAGTTTTCATGGAATTACCTGCTTAGGTTTTAATGAATTTTAAAAAACTATGGCACGAGCATTCGTATTCCTTTAATTTATTGAAGAAACAATGAATCTTAAAAATATAAGGATTTTCCTTATCACACTCTACCAATTTATGCAGACGTATGTTTAAAATGCTGTAGAACATGTGAACAGTCTGCATTGAGCAACTTAGCATAAATTGGCAAACACTTTTTAACAAAACACCTACACAGATATATATATATATATATATATATATATATATATACTAGCAAACCCGACGAACTCCGTTTCGCCACCAGATGGTTTCATGAGAAAGATGAAGAAATTTTTTGTTTGTTTTATATTTGAAAAGGAAAAATTTGATTTTATTATACAACAGTAATGAATTTATTTCGATTACAAAAATGAAGTGTTTTTAGTTGAACTTCTCTAAGTAAATGAAAGTGAATCCGCAAATTATCCGTTTCATTGAAGTGCCCTTTGGTAAACCACAATTTTTGTTTTTTGGTCTGACCTTAACACAAACAAAGCGGATGGTTTTCCAACTCGTGAATAGGCAACGTATAACTGCCCATGTGAAAAACAATGAGTTTCTAAATTATCTATCTGAAATTTATCCCGCAAACACTAAGCGATTGGCCTTGCGACTTGTTATTGCAAACGCAAGGCGAACTGGAAATTGCAATCGTTTGAAGTCAAACGGAAGACCAGTCGGAATCATTGGTATGTCACCAAATCGCCAACAATTTTTGATTGAATGGTGAAATTCAGTGCGCGTACATCATTATTCTTTGCGGCAAGAATTGCTCGTTGACTTAACCAAGCATAATTCTGATAATTCTCACTAACGTCATTACTCGAATTTTTAATTACGGTGCGTGAAGTTCCAGCAGCTTGCATTAAGGCACGATGCCATGCACAACTAATTTTTTTAGCTATAAACCTTGCGGAGCCCGAGAGCTTTCCAACGAATGCAAAATTGTCGAAATCGGTTCGTGCGTTATGGAGTTATTTCGTCAGGAAGAAAAACCCGACTTATTTTTATATATATAGAAGATATATATATATATATATATATATATATATATATAATTTTCAATTGATGAGTTCTCAACTTGTTATCAATTTCAACATAACAAGATCCAAATTGTCAAAAAATTGATACTTTATAATATTGTTAAAAACATTTTTGTTGTTCAAAATATAACAAATAAGATATTTGTATATTAATACCTATCTGAAATGTTGTCTTTCAAACTTCCAGGAATGGTATAATTTTTGTTGCATTCTTCATTTGACACGATTGGAACCTTAACAGCTTTTAGCTGCGTTGATCCCGGGCCGCCAATCTAAATGTTCAATTAATAATATATGAAATTATATCTAAAAATGTAATAACTATGCTTGATTATATGAATAGCTTCAATATATTCTTAACAAAAAGTTTTGTTCATGTATATTTTAACAACGTTCGACCTTCTTATATATATAGTTTTAACCCTTCCACTACGACATCCACAAGACAACCTGATTGCGCGGTTGTCGCTTATGAACGATATCCAGTGAATTGAAAATTCCTATTGTAATTTTTCATTCCTTTGAAGTGTAATTTTTTATTTTAGATACATTTTATTGATAATGATGAAACAATTTTGAATTATTGTTTTGTGTCAGGCCCGTTCAGTAGCGTAACTTGGCGGCTCGCTGGTTTGTGCAGCAGTGTCTCTCGCTTGCAGAAGACTCTGCCGTAGCAAAAGGGTTAAGAAAACTTTTGATTCAAATGTTGAATATATAAAATAATGAATTCAGTTAGCGTTAGTGATTCATAATTTTTTAAAATTCAAATGATTGATTTTTAATAATTAATCAACCTACCATAGTAGCCCCCCATCCTGTGACACTGACGAGTGCGCCTTCTGGAACTTCTTTCCCTGTTTCTGCTAATGTTACAGGAACAACAGTGCAGGCAGTGTATGCAATTGGTTTTGCAATGCGTAATAAAGCGACATCAAAATCGTATTTGGTTCGATCACTATATCTTGGATGTTTTTTAATTTCTATAATGTCGTATAAACGCCCACCTTTGTTATGCACATTGCTTCCAACTCTGACTTTTAAACCTTCGATATTGTTTTCATATCTGAAAAATTCGAACTTTGGTATTAACGTTTAACGTTATTACTTCTTTGAAACGTATACGTTTTAATACGTTATTATTTCACTAAAAGACTTATTTTATAGTATCATTCAAAATGCTAGTTACAACTAATTTAAGTTGAGTAAGTAGCATTTTGCCTTTAGACAAGTTGCATGAACTTTCCGATACATGTAAATAAACGACTTAATCAACAAGAATTAGTTTTTTAGATAAAATGTTACCCGGTTTATTTCGAAGATAAAGTTTTTGCTTTCATTGATCAATTGTCAATTGATATATTTGAAACATACTTTTATAATACAGTAATTTTACAAATTAAATTAACAGATTTTAAAAAAATATTTCGGGTTTTAAAAATGTATTTTATTTAAGTGTGGACGTAAACTGTAATCAGTAATTATCGACGAAACACTGAACATATATAGATGTTCAGCATAATTAACTTCCGTTGGGTAAGTTATAGTAATAGGCCAGAAAATTGAAAATGGATATTTTTGCATTACTCCACGTTTTGAAGGTTTCTAAATATTTTGCCATACTTTTTGTGTGTCCGCATTTATTCGTTCACGTTTTTCTATTGATAGGGAGATGTGCTGATTAGTTTTTGGTAAAGGCAGGTCCAGCCGTTACGGGAATAAAGAGCAAAGAGTGCAGAAAATAAGTATCAAGTTTTTGAGAAAACGGAGCATCCAATTTGAATGACGTAAAAAACATTCAATTCGTAATGATTGGGAGAGGTGGTGATTAGTTTTAGGCAAATGCAGGTCCAGCCAAAGATTCGAAGATACAGAGCTAAATATACAGAAAATAGCAGTTTCTGAGAGAAATAAGCATCCGATTTGAATGATTCAAAAAACTTTCTGCTTGTGTTGACGAAACAATTGCTTTTGGAAAAAAAATTGCATTTCCATTTTTTTTCCAAGATTTTTTTTGAATATCAAAAATAAATCAGATTTCAATTTTAATTCTAGTTAAAGTTCTAAAGCTTACTTTGAAAACATTTAATATTTCTCGAACATTTCGTTACGGTACGGGAAGTTCCAGCAATTTGCCTTAAGGCACAATGCCATACACCTAATAGAATCGCTCAAGCACGCGGCGAAATTTTAAACTTTGATCTTTTATAATTCAAACCTAGCCAAACTCATCGTCAAGCTAATAATATTATGTTATTTCAGACTATGAAATCTATCGTTATACAACGTTTTATTAGAACCGACAATTTTTTTTCAACATTTAATTAGGAAGAAATGGCTCGGCCAATCTCTACCAAAAACTAATCATCATGATTCACAATCGTGAAACGATCGTCTTGCGAACTGACCAACAACAGTCCACATCGAAATACATAAAATGGCTAATGAATTTATGAAATCGGTTTAGCCGTTTTCCACAAAACAACGATAAAAGCTGAAAAATCGGCACACAAACACACACATACTTCTTCCAACTTTAATCTCATTTGCTTCAGAATGACTTGAAACGATTCTTGAAACAAACTTATCGAAAAGTTAAATATTACAATTTTAGAAGCACTTTCATTGTCACTTACGTTTTATTAAGAAGACAAATAATCGATATTGTATATTTTTCAAATATAGACTATTATTATTATCAACTATGCACTATAGTACAAGTATTACGTAGGGGAGACTGGGTACGGTTGTGCCACTATTTTTTGGGCAGCAATAATTTTGTTAATTTACTAGTTAGCTGGGAGAAAAGTAAATTAAATAGTAATAAAAACATTTGTTTACGTGGAAATACTGAAATACTGTCCTTTAGTGATAAAATCAAATCATACTAGAAAAGGACGAGTGTTACAATATTGTAAGAGTCAACTTGTAAGTACTTTAAAAGACGGTCAAAATATTTGTATATATATATATATATATATATATATATATATATATATATATATATATATATATTCAAATTCTATACTACTTGGTTACGCAATGCGCAGCAGTTAGAATCCATTCTTTGCCAATGATGGATCCTCCACAGAAATGGCCATTCTTATTGTGAAACGAAACTTGCCATCCACAAGTTGAAATATCTACATCTTCACCTCCCACTATTCGATGATCTAGGTCTGAAATTAATTTATTTTAAATTACACAACTAATCAATTACACAAAATCATAATAATTATTATTATTATCACCAGATTTATATTTATTATTGTACATACCATGCCCAGCAACAGCTACTGCAGCAAAAGCTGCAAATATTAATGACAGCAACATTCTGCAGAGTGTCAAATTACTAATTGATTAACTAATTGATTTGTGATGCTATTACCTACTCAAATCTTATATTTAATATTTTTATTAGGGGATTGCCAACCTTTTGATCAAGCTATTATGGTATGATATTTTCTGCATAATTGTGATAATTTTGAATGTGCTTTTTCATATACTTATGTTAATGTGTAATTCAAAAACTGCAATACCTTAGTACATACTTTAATTATTGTCAGAAAATGCAATTTACCAGTTTTGAGACTAATGTTTCTTAGAAATGGATTCAGGAGCATCACGCTCATGATGCTATACTATTGATGTTTTATATACCTATTAATTATCTCGATTGAAAAGCTTTGATGTATATAATATGGGAAAAAATAGCGCTTACTATTGAATATATATAAATAACCAGCAATACTCCAATGCATTCAACACTTTCGACTTGTATAAAAATTTTAATTGATATGATCACAAAAATTTATCTCGAATATTTACTTTTATTGAGCTTTTCCGTAGCTTCTTCATCAGAGATTTGGTCTTCTAACCCAGATTCCAGGTTCTATTTCTGACAGTATTGAACATCATTATTAACTTCCCGAAGGAAAAGTTTGTTTTCATCAAAAAATTCGATTCGCTAATTTTGTTTTCTCGACGTTTCAAGCAATTCTGAATTGAATAAGACCAAAGTTAGAAAAAGTATAAGTGCGTTTGTGTATGTGTGTGTGAACAGGTTTTTTGTCGTAAATCGACGTTTACTCAAAAACGGTTGGACCGATGTAAAAGCCATTCGATGTATCTCGTTGAGGACTAGGGGTTTTTCAGTTTTGTGCAGATAATAATAGCAGAAAAGTGAAAAATTTGTCGTCCACGTTTTAGCCCGCAATTCTGAATCAAATCAAAAAATCGTTCGAAAGATATTGGTTGGGAAAGTACAACCTACAAGTCGTTTAGTATTAAAAATTTGTCAGTTTGCAAAAATTAGTATCATTTTTTTGGCGTGTGTCAAAATTAGAACTTTCATCAACATCATGCAACTTGCCTTAAGGCTAAATGTCACATTCAACTAGTTGGAATTATTTGTATTAATCACATAATTAGGCAATCACTGCGTTAGTTTTCTGATAATACTAGGTTCAGGAATTCTACGACTACACATAATTCTAAATGCTCCAGGTTATTATATACATAAATACTGAAAATACAATAATTCTAAAAATAAATTTTGTGCATTAAAAATGATTTATATATTATTCAGAAACACCTATATGTTTATTGGCGATTACTCTAATAAGATTAATAACTCCACTTATGAAAAGCTGTACAAAAATTCAATTTTTATTCAAACTTGACGATATGCTTGAAAATTGAAAATGAAAATTTTTGCATATCTTCACGTTTTGAATGTTTTTGAACATTTTGACATACCTCAGAAAAAATGAATGTGTGTGAGTCTTTTGTATGTCCGCATTTTTTCGTCCATATTTTCGGGCGCACGGATCAATCAATTTGAATGGTTCAAAAAACATTCGATTTTTATTAATAAAGAGTTGTGCTGATTAGTTTTTGGCAAAGGCAGGTTCACTCGTTACGAAGATACAGAGCAAAGAGTGCAGAAAATACAAATCGAGATTTTTAGAGAACGGAGTATCTGATTTGAATGATCTAAAAAACATTCAATTTGTAACGATTGGAAGAAGAGGTGATTAGTTTTTGGCAAATGTAGGTCCAGTCGTTTGGAAAATACAGAGCTAAATGTATAAAAAAATGGCAGTTTTTGAGAGAACTAAGTGTCCGAATGATTTAAGGAACTTTCTGCTTGTTTTAGTAAAATAACTGCTTCTAGAAAAAAAACTTTTCTAATTTTTTTTTCCAATTTTGTTTTGTATATTGAAAATAATTCAGATTTTAATTTTAATTATGACTAAAGTTCTAAAGCTCACTTATATACTTTAAATAAATAATTTCAACTTTGCAAATTAGTTTATATAATTCTTATAAATATTAGACAATGTTACGGTATTTATAATAATCTATTTCAAAAAGATATCAAATTTGCTTTTTTTACTTTTAATGCTTTTTACTTTTAATGATGTATCACTGTAGTGAACTGTATCATTGAATGCAGTTCCTATATTTTTAACTTCCGTGGGGTTACATTGATTAAAAATCTAAAATGAATTTTTTTGCATATCTTCACGTTTCAACCTTCTCGAATATTTTGGCGTTCCTTAGAAAAAATAATGTGTGTATGAAAAAATAATGCGCGGATACAATTTTTGGACCACACTTTCGAGAGAACGGATCAACCAATTTGAATAATTCAACAAGAATTTGATTGTTAGTGATGGAAAGATGTGCTGATTAGTTTTTGGCAAAGAAAGGTCCAGCCGTTTGGAAGATACGAGGCAAAAAATGCAAAAATAGAAATTTTGAGAGAATGAAGCGTTCAATTTTAATGCATAAAAAACATGTTATTTGTAAATTATTACTTGTTCTTTCGCATAACTTCAGAGATATTACACCCTAGTTAAACAGAATTATATATTGGTTTCTGTTTATATACCTAAAAATGAACGTATAAAATTAGATTTATATAATCTTTTGAAAATATCAGTTCTTCAATCTTTATTATTTAATTTATCACAATTCATATCATAACATTAAAGAGTATCTTAAATCACATTATATTGAAAATGAAATCCACTTAAACATTAGCATATTTTTCAATAAATTTTCTGATTTCGGGGTGTGACACTTTAGCATAAATTCCTGGTTTTCCTGGTCTGGCACATCCTTGACCCCAAGAAACCACTCCTACTTGCTTTCTATTTTCATCTACCAGTGGACCGCCACTGTCGCCTTGGCAGGAATCTTTACCTCCTTCAGGAAGACCAGCACATAACATGCTTAACCAAATAAAATTTTATGTTAAAATTCTCGCTTTATATCTATTTTGATGTATTAACTTTAAGAAGATACCTACCTGTCTGTAATTTTGTCTTTACCTCCAGAAGGTGGATATCCCTTAGCACAATCTTTGGGAGAGATAGCTGGAACTTTCACACCTTGTAGTTGCAAAGTTCCGCCACCACCTTCCTGTATTTAATACTATTTATATATTCATAATTATATAATTTTTTTTATTAAATTAATGCTTTATTCCATGAAATTAATGAACAGCGAAAAAAGATTTTCGAAAGGTTTCAATATAAGATATGCATTGAAAATACATATCTGGCGTTTGCTAATTGAAGATACTTTCCAAACATATACATAAAAGACGAAATACATAAAATTGAAGTAATACTTGTTCTGATGATACGTGTTTTTCGATTCTGGTACTTCGTAGTAAAATGTTTCTGTCTGCCTTCAAATTCATTTCAGTATATCTAAGTTAATAAGTTCAATATATTTAAGTGTATTGTATTACAATTTAATCGCATCAATCTCAATTTCAATTTTATTCCTTTCAACTTGCTGACAGTTATATACAACAACTCGGTTATCGAAACTTATCAGATTTCTTAAATGTGTAGGTACTAAAGGTTTTATGAAAATAAAATGAACTGCATTTCAAAATTATTATGGCACATAAGACTTCAATCAATAGTTTTTGTAAACGTATAATAATAGCCCGGCCAATTTAAACCTATAATCAGGGTCAAAGTTACAATAATTTGTAATGGGCTGTAACTTGGTAAAATTATTTAAAATACAACTACAAAAAAAATCACAAGAGTCCTCATCGATCCAATGCGAGCTAAAAATGTCAGAAGGACATGCGAGTTTAAAAAGAAGGGGCAGATGAATGAGGACTAGCGTTTCTAAGTTTTGCGCGACGATCGGCCGAGCATTTTCTTAGTAAATCGCAAAAAAGTGAAGAATTTTTTGTCCACGTTTTAGCCCGCAATTCTGAATCGATTTTGAAAATTCAAAAACTGTTCGAAACATATTGGTTGGGAATCGACCTGATTAGTTTTTGGTAAAGATCGGCCGGGCCGTTTTCTTGTAATAAGGTGTTAAAAAAAATTTTTTCGACGATTTTCATGATTTTTTTTTGACGGTAGATACCATAGTCTTATAGATCATACTAGAATATTACGGTTCTACGACAAGTCATTTAATTTTAAAAAATCGTCAAAGTTTGCAAAAATTAGTGTCGTTTTTTTGGCGTTTGTCAAAATTATAACTTTCATCGACGTTTGCTCAAAAACGCCTGAACCGATTTCAAAAATTTAAAACCAATCGATGTATTTTGATGTGGATTATTTTTTCTTAATTTTGTGCAGCGATCGGCCGAACCATTTTTTCGTAATTTGGAAAAAAGTGTTAAACTTTTCGTCCACATTTAAGCCCATACTACCGAATCAATTTTCAAAAATAAAAAACTGTTCGAAAGATATTATTTGGGAATGATACTGATTTAGTTGAAAATATATCGAACCGTTTTATTGTAATTAACAGTTGTAAAAAAAATGTAAGCCGATTTTCATAGAAGTTTTTTTTGGCGTTATATATCCTGGTTTTATAAAACTTACTGAAATATTACGGTATTACGACAAGTAGTTTAATTTTAAAAATTTATCAAAGTTTGAGCAAATAAGTTATTTTCTTACTCGGAACACTTTTAATCACTCATAAATTAATTTATTTTTATTGATCAATTATTTACACATATCGGGAAGTTTATGTAACTTGCCTCAAGACTAAATACCAATACCAACTAGTTTTGCAAGTGTTCCGAAACAAACAAAATCACAACAGACCCGTAAAATAGGCCTACAGGGAAAACCCCGCAAAAAAACGAGCTAAGCAGACTACCTCGTAGGTGGCGTTTAAACGTACATTTCAAAGTGTATATATCTTTAAAACGGTGGCTCTGAGCAAAAAAAGTATTAATCCATTTTTTGAAGATAATTTTATGCTCTACAATATTGTCTCAGGTAATTTCGCGATAAAACTGACCATTTAGCAAAAAATTGCTAAAGGGTCGTTTTTTTTACTTTTGACCTTTTGCCATTTTCTTTAGCTCGCATCGGATCGATGAGGACTTTTGAGATTTCTTTTATAATTGTATTTTAAACAATGTTGCCAAGTTACAGCTTATAACGAATTATTGTAACCTTAATGCGTAAATTGAATTGATAAAATAACGTAAGATAAAATCTATTAAATAAAGCCAAGCAAAAATTCTTTTTGCAAAATAAAATATTATTGTTTATTGAACCAAGGGAATGCAATATCGATAAAAATTTTCGATACCTATATGTCGGTATTTTCGCTTTCAAAACCGGTGATACTGGTATCAATTTTATCTAAAAAATGTTTTTTTTTTTTCTCTTTATTGAAGTACAATCTGTCTTTACAAAAAGGAAGACATTTAGTAATTTTGATGATATATGAAATATTAAATATTAGATTTAAAACCCAGTAAGCCTTTTCAATTTTGATATTGTGATTATATAGAGTATCTAAAAAATGTGAACAAAATTACGTTATTTGAACAAACTTAAAAAATAAACTTGTTTTGCTGATGCCACTTGAAAAAACTGTCTCTTTTTTACATAAGAAAAAGTAAATATTTTTGACACTTGTTTATACGACTTGAAAGAACATTTGTTTAAAGTGATTATGAGGTTTGAAGTTTAGATGGTTCTTAAAATTCAAGTATGATATGTATTAACTAGCGCTTATGTTTCAATGCCAGAATACCAATATTTCAAGGTAATTATTTGTTATAAAACCGCCAAAAATTTGGGCGGTATACAGTATATCGTTTTTTGTTATACCGGTATAATGGTATAGAATTCTCTAATTGAGACTTGAATTGCTTTGTTAATTATTTTTATCCGTTACTATATTTAAGCACCCACATTAACCTAAATTTTCTGGATAATTAATCACAACATTTCTCATAATACCTTAGTTGCACCCCATCCAGTGACACTAAGTATTGCTCCAGGTTTAACTTCAGTTCCACTTTCGGCTAAATCTACTGATACTACTGTACAAACCGTATATGAGACTGGTTTTTCAAGTTCTAGTACAGCAACGTCAAAATCATAATCCGCCCTCTTATTGTACGAGGGATGCATGTGGAAATCTATTACTTTATGAACTCGACCACCTTTGTTACGTATACTGCTTCCTATACGTACGGTTATGTCTTTGAGCGGCTTTTTCAACCTAGAAATAATTATTGATAGTAGCATATATGCAAAAATTCCATTGAAATTGAAAATTCAAATTTTAAAGTTAATTTAGTTTTTATCAAATTTGTAATTAATTCTCTAAAAGTTTTAAAAATTAGAATTTAATTACTTATTATCATTTGAGAATTTGATTTTTTCGTTTTTAAATGAGGTTCTAAACATATGTAAAATATTTTAAACCCCAATATTTATGTTGCCATATTTAAATTATAAAACATAGGTTTATATTAGTGATGTGCCAAGTCGAATCAAGTGATTCGAATCATTCGAATCAAGCCTTTAACGACTTGATTCGAATCAGATTTTACTTGATTCGAATCAACTCGTATCAAGCCGCGAAATATTTACTGTGATAAAACATGTGTGAACACAAATTTTCATAAATATAAAAAAAATGTTTTAATTTAATTCAATATTATAATAATAATAATAATAAATATAAAAATAATATAATAAATATAAAAAATAAATCTTGAATTAAATCATGCGAGTCACCCGCCTTTAATACGCTTAAATGTATCACCCGACTCCAATTTATATGACTTTAACCGCATTCAAGTCGATATGAATTCATCCGAGTTCCTATGACTCAAACCGACTTATCCCGACTTCAAGTCGTTATGAATTGATTCGAGTTCCTATGACTCAAACCGACTTATCCCGACTTCAAGTCGTTATGAATTGATTCGAGTTCCTATGACTCAAACCGACTTATCCCGACTTCAAGTCGGTATGAATTTATCCGAGTTCATATGACTCAAACTGAATCATACCGACTTGAGTTCGAAACATGTGTCCGTGTTTAGCGTATCGACTTATGGAGATGCAGTGCGTATGGGTCTTGAGTGTTTGTTTATTTTTGACTAAGCGCTGAGAGCAATTTGTTCATGAAATATCAAAAACTCATTTAGATAATAAATAAGCGATTTAGATTTTAATTATTATCAAAATAAACTACACAACGAGTTTTATACACATACAAAATTATTATATTTTAATTATGCAAGTAATGGCAAATTCACACAAATGAAATAATATCAATCTTACAGTAGTGGATTGAATTTTAAGTCGTTCGTAAGACGTTAGATTCAGCTCCCTGTTTAGATTAGATCTAAACAATCAATAATATACACATGCATTCGTTCAACGTAAGATTAAGAATATTGTTTTATACGCTTTAGTGATAGAGAAGTGTTTGGTTATATTTTACTGTAAATTCACTTGAAAGATTAGTTATATTTGTAGCTAGTTTATTATTATATATATAGTATAAATGTATTCATCTCTGCACTTTTTGGAATTAATTGCTTACTAAATTAATTATTTCACTTATAAAATTATTAAAATGATATTATTTCTTCTCTTAAATTATAATTGTTCATATATGAACTTGATTCGAATTGATTCGAATCATGATTCGAATCAGGTTTTTTTCTGATTCGAATCACTCGAATCAGGAAATTTTCGAGTCGGCACATCACTAGATGCCCATTATATACATCTCATTACAATGTAGTTTAATTAATCAGAAGTAATATTTAGTATATTAATCTGGGAATATATATGGAGGCTATGCACATCAAACATTACGTTATAAAGAACTTAAAAAAAGATTTATTTTCTCATAATACCTGTTTATTAACTTCCCGTAGGGTAAGTTATTGTAATCGTCCAAAAATCGAAATTAAATTTTTTTATATTTCTTCACGTTTTGAAGGTTTCTGAACATTTTGGAATAATACCTTAGAAAAAATGGATGTGTGTACGTGTGTGAGTGTGTATGTATGCATGGATACAATTTTTCGCCTACGTTTTCGGGCGCACGGATCAACCGATTTGAATGGTTCAAAAACAATCTATTCCTATTGGTAGAAAGATTGCTGGTTAGTTTTGGCAAAAGTCGGTTCAGCCGTTTCTGAGATACGGAGCAAAGAATGCAGAAAAATAGAAATGGAGTTTTTGAGAAATCCAAAATAACATTCATTTTGTAAAGATGGGTAAAAGTGGTAATTAAATTTTGTCTAAGACAGGTATAGCTTTTTTCGGAGATACAAAGCAAAATGTGCAAAAAATGGCTATTTTGAAAGAAATAAGCATCCGATTAGAATAATTCAAAAAACTTTCTGCTTGTGTTAACGAAACGATTGTTTTCGAGGAAAAAAGTAATTTCATTTTCTTTTTATTTTCAAAATTATTTTATTTTATTTTTATTATCGAGAGATTTGCCTCAAGACACAATGCCGTACACCACTAGTTATTTTTTGAAGCACTATTTGTCCCGGACTTGTTGTATTAAAAATTTTATTTTTGAATTTGTTCTAATTAGAGTTATATTTACAGAAACAAACACACATAGTTACACTAAATAATATTAATTACTCAATTTAATTTAAGGTTTAGTTTTTACTAAGCTTATATTTCGGATTTCGCAATAAAATTGGTTACCATTTGGTAAATTGTTAAAGTTAAAATATTTGACCATTTTTGAGGTATAACCCAGTTTTGAGCTAATTTCATGATTTTGATATTGAAATATTGCCGTTTTAATCAGACATAAGAGTAAGTTATAGTAATAACAAATAAATCGAAAAAGAAATTGTTTTTATACGTGTTTACGTTTTTTAGAGGTTTCTAAAAAAATTCAATTTTGGTGATAAAAATTGATGATAA